GATTTGGATGCCCCTCGATGCCGGAATCCGGAACGATATCTCATAATTTTCATTTCGGAGCGAGCCTGCTCTTAACGAAAGTGCTCAAAAAGTTCGTAAAAAACGGATGATGACAATCGATGGTCTGTTAGAAGGATCGATGCTAGGCTACGACTAAGTTGTTCGTGCGTGGGAAGTTGTCAACTGCACGATCACGAACGTTCCACAACTGCAAGGCAAACCTTGGATTTGCGCGTCTGCCCTTTCTTTGCCTGCCGATATAAGTATCTTCCCAGTAGTCCACTAAAGGTGCCAGAACAGGTGGAAAGCTCTCAGCTAAATAGTAGAATTCAGCCAGAACATCAGCAACCGGATCGAAGGCTAAAGCTAGCAGCGTCTTCACGCATATGCGAAAATTGTCAACTTCACAGTAGGACGCTGCAAGGTTAAGGTCTTGAACCTTGCGAGACATACTCTGGCCGAGATGGAAAAAGCATCCAACAAGTCGTGTATCCGGGAAGACAATCAAACAGGCAATCTGACTTGCTTTCTCGTAGTCTGACATTATACTTGACGGATTCAGCGACGGCTTTATTTCCTTCAGCTTACGAAAAATACGCTTATAGTTCTCCTCTGTTTTGTCCGACATCATGACGTAAACCAGAGGATAGGCAGAACCATCGACCAACGCATGAATGAAAAAGATCTGGAAGAAGAGAGCTGGTGCCACTTTGAAAGTTCCATCGATGAACCAGTGAGAGTGCTCTTGAAGGAGATTCAGGTTGGCCATGGTTGCAAAAATCAAACTTTGATGATCGTCGTCTGGCGCCCGAATCGAAAAGTGAGAAATGTTCATTTCTTGTTATTTGTAAAAGGGATTCTGGAATGATGATATCAGCGAGAGAATTCAGTGGACCGCACAGAGGATCTCGTTGCTTCCGTTTGCTCTGAATCGACCTATGAGAGGCGGTGTAGTCAGGTAGAAGACTGGGTACCACCAACGGAACTGCCGCTGTGCTTCGCTGAATTATTTGTCGAGGCTTTTCAACGGTTGTCAAAGCTTTGCGTCGAACTTCATTTACAAGTTGCGATCGGATCTGTCACACTAACCACAACATTAGTTTCATATACAGTGGTACCTCGAGTCACGAACTTAATTCGTTCTTTGACTCCGTTCGCGAGTCGAAACAGTTTT